TTGGTAATTCCACACCACTCAGCCTACTGTAGACCACTCGCTAATCCCACACCACCCAGCCTACTGTAGACCACTCACTAATCCCACACCACCCAGCCTACTGTAGACCACTTGGTAATTCCACACCACTCAGCCTACTGTAGACCACTCGCTAATCCCACACCACCCAGCCTACTGTAGACCACTCGCTAATCCCACACTACCCAGCCTACTGTAGACCACTTGGTAATTCCACACCACCCAGCCTACTGTAGACCACTCACTAATCCCACACCACCCAGCCTGCTGTAGACCACTCACTAATCCCACACCACCCAGCCTACTGTAGACCACTCACTAATCCCACACCACCCAGCCTACTGTAGACCACTTGCTAATCCCACACTACCCAGCCTACTGTAGACCACTTGGTAATTCCACACCACCCAGCCTACTGTAGACCACTCACTAATCCCACACCACCCAGCCTACTGTAGACCACCCGCTGATCCCACACTACCCAGCCTACTGTAGACCACCCGCTGATCCCACACTACCCAGCCTACTGTAGACCACCCACTGATCCCACACTACCCAGCCTACTGTAGACCACTCGCTAATCCCACACCACCCAGCCTACTGTAGACCACTCACTAATCCCACACCACCCAGCCTACTGTAGACCACTCACTAATCCCACACCACCCAGCCTACTGTAGACCACTTGCTAATCCCACACTACCCAGCCTACTGTAGACCACTTGGTAATTCCACACCACCCAGCCTACTGTAGACCACTCACTAATCCCACACCACCCAGCCTACTGTAGACCACCCACTGATCCCACACTACCCAGCCTACTGTAGACCACTCGCTAATCCCACACCACCCAGCCTACTGTAGACCACTCACTAATCCCACACCACCCAGCCTACTGTAGACCACCCACTGATCCCACACTACCCAGCCTACTGTAGACCACTCGCTAATCCCACACCACCCAGCCTACTGTAGACCACTCACTAATCCCACACCACCCAGCCTACTGAAAATATTTATATAATGTATTTACTTTGATTCCCTCCTCGTCGTTGACTCGGCGGATCATCTTCACACACATCTCAGTGATCCTGCTGAATCCTGGCTGCTCCAGACAGATATCCCTCAGGATCTTTATCACACGCTTACGCACACTGATGCCCGTGTCCTGAGGAGACGCAGACGTGAAACATTTCACACCACTGGACTGTATTTACGTTGTATTTACGACTAAAACATGCTGAAGTACCAAAAACAGTTTTCCCTTTGGAAAAGGAAATATCTTCTAAAACCTTCACATTAATAACACTGCTGAGGAGTTAGCTATCACCATGGTTACAATTGGCAAATTTAGATTTGATGCAGATAGTTCTATGTTTGACCAAACAGGGTCTGGATCTCATGCAGGAGAGTGAAAATTAGAAGTTTTGTTAATAATCGTGCATATTTGTAAACGTGTAAAAATTCACTGGTGGTTTGCTGGAAGGGAAAAAACACAATGCAAAATAAACACTCCAGGCAAATGGCCAAGGCCTGAATGTTGTGTCCGGGGGCAGTGAGCAGCAGGGTGGGCGCGCACTCACCAGTATCCTCTCGATGAGCATGTCGTAGTACTGCTCTGTAAGCTGAGGCCGACTCAGCACAAATCTGCCCAGCAGCTCCACCGCTGCCTCCCGCACACTGGTGGAGTTATCCATCAGCCGCCCGTGGACCCCACGCTGCATATCCGACTGTAACACATCATTAACACCGTAGTTATTAACCACACACACCGCACAGGGGCTGTAAACACACACTGCAGAGGGCTGAGGGTCTCAGTTACCCTGGCCAGAATACTGGGGTCCACAGCCACCACCTCAGACAGACACTTCATCGCTTTGGTCCTGACCGCAATCGCACTCTCTCCCAGAACCCTCAGGATCTAGAACACACACACACACAGCACATGAGCATTACAGAGCATTACAGAGCGCTTTTTAAATGAAACAGTAGAAACCATATCGCCCCCTACACTTCCTGTAGAGTATTACAGTCTGTCAGAGTGACTGTGTGAATGTTATTGATCATGTTACCTGGGTCAGGTAGATGTCGAAGCTTTGGGAGAAGGGTCTGGTGGAGGCCAGGTAGCGTACAATAAGGCAGGCGTCGTCGTAGTCCACAGTGTCTGAATTCATCCTGAAACAAAAAGGACAAAGCGTCAGGACAAAGACAGGGACGAATCCAGAAACAGGCTGACCATGACGATTGACAGACACAGCTGACCATGACGACTGATACACACAGCTGACCATGACGACTGATACACACAGCTGACCATGACGACTGATATAATATTATCTTCTCTCCTAAGAGCCTCTGAGATGAAACAGTACCTGAGTGTTGTAAACTGGTTGGTGGAGGACTTGATGACGGAGTGGAGGAATTTTTTGCGTGCCTCGGCTCGCTGCATGATGTCCCGAGTGTCTCTGAGCTCTTTGGCGTGCTGCCCACCGTCGGAGTCGTCCTGCTTCTGATTCTGACTCCTCATGGCCTTCTCACACTCCGTAGTGCAGTCCCTGAACCACTGCGCGACGTAGAACTTACGCGCAAACTACAGACACAAACGGACGGGTTAGAGACGGGACATAAGGATCTTATAACAGTATTATGATGATGCTGCTTCAAACTGCCTTCGGTAATATATCAAAACTACACTGATGAATCATGACTAAAGACCAGCCTGTATTAGACCTGTCTGTACTGACTCAGGACTCGACTTCAGACTTGTCTGTACTGACTCAGGTCCCAACTTGACAACTGTCTGCACTGACTCAAAACTTGTATCTGTATCTTCTTGGGACTTGACTGTACTGACTTGATTTCAGACTTGTCTGTACTGACTTGGGACTCAAGACTTGTCTACTGACTCAGGACTTGAGACTTGTCTATAACCTCTTGGGTCTCGACTTGAGATCATTCTGTACTGATTCATGACTTCAGACGTGACTGTACTGCCTGAGGACTGAACTTGAGACTTGTCTGTAGTGACTCGGCTCTTGGATACACACGTGCAGGTGTGTGTGTGAGACTCACTAATATGGCGGGGTCGGTCTCTGTGTTCTCGTCTATGTAGTCCAGCAGAGCTTTCTGAAGCTGCTGAGTTTCGTCGTTCCCTGAGCTCTGAAACACACACAGCCTTTAATAACCACACAGGAATCCCAGCAGAGGAAAAGATAAACGGCTCCGTAACAGACGAAAGAAAACACATCGAGGCAGCGTCTTACCTCTCGTATTATCCGGTCGATGGCTTTCTGGTCCATCCTGCTGGTGACCGAGTCCTTCCTGAGCCGAGCTGCTACAGTGCCCAGGTAGTCCAGAGAGGCCACCCTGAGGGCCATCTCCGTCTGCTTATTACTGAACTGGTGCACCTGCACACAGACAGGACATGCTGTATATAACACACGCAGTGACCGCTGTACACAACAACACACACGCAGTGACCGCTGTACACAACAACACACATGCAGTGACCGCTGTATGTAACACACACGCAGTGACCACTGTACATAACACACATGCAGTGACCACTGTACACAACAACACACATGCAGTGACCACTGTACACGACAACACACATGCAGTGACCACTGTACACGACAACACACATGCAGTGACCGCTGTACTGGAACCCCTCACACACACAACCGCTTACTTACACAGCTCCACAGCTGCAACACAGCTCCAACAGAGTTTCTAATAAAGTGGCCACTTAGCGGAAGTATAAGGTGGGGGTTTCTAATAAAGTGGCAAGTTAGTGGAAGTACAAGGAGGGTGTTTCTAATAAAGTGGCCAGTGAGTGACAGAACAAGGTGGGATCTATAAACAGCTATTACTGTGATGCGTATGAGAGGGTAGTGAAGTGAGACTGCATTACAGTTAAATGTGAGCTGTAGGTGCATTAGCGTGCTGTAGGGGGCGCTGTGTGTACCAGTAATCTCCCCAGCAGACTGAGCAGCAGTTCAGACGCAGGCCACTCCGGTTTGTTCACTGTAGACAGAAGATCCTGCACAAAGTTCTCAAACAGCGGCCTGTAGTCCTCCTCGCCCTGCTTACTGCCACACCTGCAGCACAGACACACACAGGTCACAGGTGAGCTCCCACCCTCACACAGGCCCTGAGCAGTGTGGAGGTACGGTAAGAGGAGGGCGCTCACTTTTTCAGGAAGACGGAGAGAAAGTTCTGAGCCGTCCGCCGAGCCGTCTCGTACGAGTTCGTGATCAGCACGTCCTCATCCACCTGAAACACACACACACACACACACACACACACAGACACACACACACACACAGACACACACACACACACAGACACACACACAGACACACACACACACACACACACACACACACACACAGAGACACACACACAGACACGCACACACACACAGACACACACGCATACACACACAGACACACACACACACACACACAGAGACACACACACACAGACACACACACACACACACAGCGTTTCCAGTCATGTTCAGAGTGCTTCACCCTCTGAGATCAGCTCTCCTCCTGCTCTGACAACACAGCGGCACATTCACTAACACGGTTTGTATTCAGATGAAGTAGAAATACAGTACATACAGTTATATAACCCTTTATATGAAACGGGCTCTAGATATACAGGTGGTGTTGGAGACCCTGGCGCGACTGTGCCCCCTCACTACGAAGAACATATACGCCTTACAGAAGGTTCTTATCCGCTTTACTGCAGGATCTGCACCCAGGAAACACTGGTGTAGCCACCTGAATGAACAAACGGACGTTCTCGTCAGCTCAGTTACACGTGCTCAGTGAGCGTTCACTCGGTGGTTGGCTGAGTGGGCGGGGCAAACCACACCAGCCTTGTGATTGGTGAGGACCCTGCTTACGTACGCACTGATTAGGACACCCAGTTCACACTAAAAGAGAAGCCTTTGGGCAAAATTCATCAGCTGTTTAGAGGACGGTGGACAGTTGTTCACAGGACACACTCTGCTCAGGTCCACTGTGGCCACACCAGATTAACCTGCTTAGAAAGAAAAGCTTTAACGGTTTTGTTTGATTTCTGTTTCTGTGCCTTTTTACGGATCTGAGAGAACCCTGATTGCAGCACCGACACTGAATGGCGTTCCTCAGTTCCACAGAGCAGGTGCTCCGTCGGAGTGCAGGTACCTTCTTGTGGTCCTCCTCTGTGAGGTCTCTGTCGGAGGGGAGGTGCACCACACACTGGATGAGCTGGAGAACCAGAGCGCTCACCATCTGAATGTACACCGGCTCTCCTTCGTCATCACTGCTGTTCAGCCTAAACACACAGTATACAGACTTATCACACAATCTGTACGGTCACAGGTACAAACCACCTGACCGGCCTGTCCATTTGTGGCTAATACGGAGTTTAAAATTAAAATAACTGACAACATCTGTACAAATCATTTTATGTTATTTGCTGCAATGCTTCTAGTTTCAGGTAAACAGCACTTTACTGACTGTTCATCAGTTCTCGGTGGTCACGACGCTAAAAATCAATCTTCACAGTCCAAAAAACAAAAAACGGTAAATTTACAGAAAGAAAAAGACATTCTGGACTTTTACTGTAAGTTAAAGTCAGGAGATGTTTGTTTGTTTGGAGAAACACAGAAATGAACAAATGGAGATTGATCTGTTTGGACAGCAGTGATAGATGGTAGTCCTGTGAACTAATGGGAGCTGCGCTTCTCTTTTTTGAGCTATCATGTTATTCTCAAGCCAAACATTACATTGGGCTCCATTTTATAGATTCACGGTGTTTTGTTTTCAGACTCTCCAGATCAGCCTTATGCTGTATTGATAATACAGTGGGTCGCTAATACTGGCTGCTAGCTCCAATACTAACACATACACAGATAAGATACACACACACGTAACACACACACGTAACACACACACACGTAACACACACACGTAACACACACACGTAACACACACACGTAACACACACACGTAACACACACACACGTAACACACACACGTAACACACACACATAACACACACACACGTAACACACACACGTAACACACACACGTAACACACACACACGTAACACACACACGTAACACACACACGTAACACACACACACGTAACACACACACACGTAACACACACACACGTAACACACACACGTAACACACACACGTAACACACACACACGTAACACACACACGTAACACACACACGTAACACACACACGTAACACACACGTAACACACACACGTAACACACACACACGTAACACACACACGTAACACACACACACGTAACACACACACGTAACACACACACACGTAACACACACACGTAACACACACACGTAACACACACACGTAACACACACGTAACACACACACGTAACACACACACACGTAACACACACACGTAACACACACGTAACACACACACGTAACACACACACGTAACACACACACACGTAACACACACACGTAACACACACAGATGTACGTACCTGAAGTTCCTGAGGCTGCGCTTGCTGGTGGGCAGTCGGGCCAGAGAGGTGAAAATCTCCTCCAGAATTAACTGCCTGTGTTTTTCATAGCGAGAAAACACCTGCAGCACAGACGTATTACATTAACGTACGTGGAAGAACTTCTACTGACCGATCAGGCTTTAAAACAACTATAAAACCTCTAAAATGTAGTGTTTCTATTCTACCCTATTCCACCCCACTGGTAGAGGGAATTACAGTCTTCTGCAAATTTGAACAGTTGAGACGTAACCAGAGTGGTTTGGTGTGAAACGCTCTGTTCTAGATAAACTTACCGAGTCAGAACTGTTCACAGTGGTGGTGATAGGAACCAGACGTCCACCTCTAAAAGCTCCCTCACAGAAAGTTCCTACATGAAATGGTTATGAATTCACTGCCTGATGACTGAGACACTGTTTTATGATAGTTTAGAGAACTTCAACTCCATTCATGGTGGAGGGATACATGCAGGGCGCTGTGAGGCAAAATAGTCCCCAAAGAAAACTTATTATTTCAGATTTTCCACTATTTTCCATCATCAACATCCATATAAGCTCAGAAGACTCGTGTATGGTTCACTGGTGGTTCTGGATAGTAAATAAAATGTCTATATCTGTGTTGTAGTCATGGCGACCCCTGGTTCCCATCACCACCACTGTAAAGACATCTGAACCATTTCACACCAAACCACTCTGAACCTCTCTGATTACACCTCACACACTGAATTATGGGGGAATTTTGAGAACTTGGTGAAATTCCCCTTTAAGCTGCTACAGACAAAGTAAATATGTATTTGTAGCAGCAGTTTTTACTGTATCTGTGAGAACACCTGGTGTGCAGGTCTACACTGAGCGCGTGCAGAGCGCGCTGCAGTCTGTTAGAGCAGGAAAACCAAAAAAACAGAGTGAGAAAAACTCACCGCCGTCACCAGCCTGATAGCACACAGCTGCAGCTCGCTCACGTTCTCCACGAAGAACGGAGTGATCCCCATAGACGACACCTACACACAGAACACAGCACCCATCAGGGAGGAGCAGAGAGCGAGAGACACCACAGAACCACAGAGAGAGAGAGAGAGAGAGAATACAGAGAGAGAGAGAGAGAGAGAGAGAGAATACAGAGAGAGAGAGAGAGAGAGGGAATACAGAGAGAGAGAGAGAGAGAGAGAGAGAGAGAGACAGAAAGAGAGACAGAGAGAGAGAGAGAGAGAATACAGAGAGAGAGAGAGAGAGAGAGAGAGACAGAAAGAGAGACAGAGAGAGAGAGAGACAGAGAGCTGCAGACACAGAGGAAACGGTCGTACCTGCAGGATGGTGGTGTCAGTCATCAGCTGGATCTCTAAGAGCTCTGAGATGTTACTGACCACGTCACACACTTTATTATACAGCATGATGATCACCCTCTGCTTAGTAGTGGAGCACTTAGCACGCTTAGCCTTCGAGCTCAGCATGGAGCCTGAAACAGAGAGAGAGACAGAGAGAGACAGAGAGAGAGAGAGAGACAGAGAGAGAGAGAGACAGAGAGAGAGAGAGAGAGAGAGAGAGAGAGCATTGAGAAAACATTCAGCTGGGCTGAAACACTCCTTATAACTTCCTCGTGGCTAAACTGCTGTAGCTGAATGGGCGGGGCTAAACTGCTGTAGCTGAATGGGTGGGGCTAAACTGCTGTAGCTGAATGGGCGGGGCTAAACTGCTGTAGCTGAATGGGTGGGGCTAAACTGCTGTAGCTGAATGGGCGGGGCTAAACTGGGTGGGGCTAAACTGCTGTAGCTGAATGGGCGGGGCTAAACTGCTGTAGGCTGAATGGGCGGGGCTAAACTGCTGTAGGCTGAATGGGTGGGGCTAAACTGCTGTAGGCTGAATGGGCGGGGCTAAACTGCTGTAGGCTGAATGGGCGGGGCTAAACTGCTGTAGGCTGAATGGGTGGGGCTAAACTGCTCGGTCCTAACGACGTGAGTGATCGTGGTGCCATGCGGGGTTAGAGGTGGGACTGCTGACCTCCTTTAGGGTCTATGCGGTAGACGGGGTCGTACTGAGGGTACAGCGTGTTCTGCAGGTGGAACTTAGTGAACTGAAGCAGTCTCTCAATCACGTCCTCGATGTACACGGCTTTGGGCATGTGAGGAGACGTCATCACGTTCAACGCCGTCAGACACGCATCTGCAGACTTCGTCACACGCTCCATAATCAGATCTCGCCATAGACGCTCCTCATCTTCACCTTCATTCTCCTGAGAGAGAGAGAGAACAGAAAACGAGACAGAGAGAGAGAGAGAACACAGAGAGAGAAAGACAGAAAAGAACAGAACCGAGCCAAAAAGGACAGAAAACAGAAGAAAAAAGAACAACACGAGAAAAGGAAGAGGAAAAAAGAAAGAGACAGGAGAAGAGAGAAGAAGAAAAATGAAATGATGGAGTGATTAATTATGGGCTGTGCAGTAATGGAACGACACAGGATCCTCAGAGTGGATCTTACAGGGCTCATGAGTGTGGAGAGATTGGCTCCATCCAGAATGTTCTTCTCCAGGATGTTCAACAGCTTCACCAGCTTATCAGTGGGAATCTGAACAGCCAGAGAGAGAGAGAGAGAGAGAGAGAGAGAGAGAGAGAGAGAGAGGTTTACACATCATGGTGCACCTGAAGCATATAGCAGTACATACAGATCAAAACTGATCTACAGCTGTTTACCGCAGACACTAACTTCATCATACTTGCCTGAATTTAAATTCCACTGTCACAGCACAAAGTCCCGACTCACAGCCCAGTCAAACTCCACTGTCACAGCACAAAGTCCCAACTCACGGCTCAGTCAAACTCCACTGTCACAGCACAAAGTCCTGACTCACGGCCCAGTCAAACTCCACTGTCACAGCACAAAGTCCTGACTCACGGCCCAGTCAAACTCCACTGTCACAGCACAAAGTCCTGACTCACGGCCCAGTCAAACTCCACTGTCACAGCACAAAGTCCTGACTCACGGCCCAGTCAAACTCCACTGTCACAGCACAAAGTCCCGACTCGCAGCCCAGTCAAACTCCACTGTCACAGCACAAAGTCCCCAATCGCAGCCCAGTCAAACTCCACTGTCACAGCACAAAGTCCCGACTCGCAGCCCAGTCAAACTCCACTGTCACAGCACAAAGTCCTGACTCACGGCCCAGTCAAACTCCACTGTCACAGCACAAAGTCCCGACTCACAGCCCAGTCAAACTCCACTGTCACAGCACAAAGTCCCGACTCACGGCCCAGTCAAACTCCACTGTCACAGCACAAAGTCCCGACTCACGGCCCAGTCAAACTCCACTGTCACAGCACAAAGTCCCGACTCACAGCCCAGTCAAACTCCACTGTCACAGCACAAAGTCCCGACTCACAGCCCAGTCAAACTCCACTGTCACAGCACAAAGTCCCGACTCACGGCCCAGTCAAACTCCACTGTCACAGCACAAAGTCCCGACTCACAGCCCAGTCAAACTCCACTGTCACAGCACAAAGTCCCGACTCACAGCCCAGTCAAACTCCACTGTCACAGCACAAAGTCCAGACTCGCGGCCCAGTCAAACTCCACTGTCACAGCACAAAGTCCCGACTCACAGCCCAGTCAAACTCCACTGTCACAGCACAAAGTCCCGACTCACAGCCCAGTCAAACTCCACTGTCACAGCACAAAGTCCCGACTCACAGCCCAGTCAAACTCCACTGTCACAGCACAAAGTCCAAACTCGCGGCCCAGTCAAACTCCACTGTCACAGCACAAAGTCCCCACCTTGGGGCCCAGTCAAACTCCACTGTCACAGCACAAAGTCCAGACTCGCGGCCCAGTCAAACTCCACTGTCACAGTACAAACTCCCCACCTTGGGGCCCAGTCAAACTCCACTGTCACAGCACAAAGTCCAGACTCGCGGCCCAGTCAAACTCCACTGTCACAGTACAAACTCCCCACCTTGGGGCCCAGTCAAACTCCACTGTCACAGCACAAACTCTCCACCTTGTGGCCCAGTCAAACTCCACTGTCACAGTGCAAAGTCTCCGCCTCCACCATCACAATGCAAAGTCCCCAAACTGCACAAATCACACAGTCTTGAGTCAGGAAGTGCCCTATTCTGTTCAACGTTCGGGGTAATGTGTGGAAGTGACTGTCTGCGGTAACCGACTGTGTGATACTGTTACAGCAGACAGAAATCAGACTAAAAAATCACTGAAATATTCCATGAATTTATTTCAGTGTGGTATCTCACCCTGTCTGCGATGCCCATGGCCTTTATCTTCGCTGACTCACTGCCCAGCTCGCTCAGCTGGTGCTTCCCCAGCAACAGCTCCTGAGGAATCTCATCATCATCTACAAACACACAAACACACAAACACAGTTACACAGAGTGTCTAAATTAAGGACATAAATCTATCCCTTAGATTACCATCTCTAATTTCACCAGCATTGGACTACATAGGATCAAACATAGGATCAAACTCGTTAAAAATCACTTTTAAAAATACACACTGAGAAGACAAATGTAACTGGAAGAGCTATTTACACAGCAGTTAAATACAAACATTAAAATTACACACAAATAACCACTTTCTTCAACAAATCATGTTATTGATTATAACTGGTTTTAACATTTAAATACGTGTTGATGCACCATAACACATTTCACCACCCGTCAGTCTGAAAACATCAATGAATAAACACAGCACTGTGAATGCTCTGGGTAATGTTCGCAGTGATGCAGGTGTTCGTTTACCCTGAGCGGTGAAGTCCACGTCCTCCAGGTTCTCTAATATGCTGTCTATGCTGGCGCAGAACCTTTTGAAGGTGGAGGAATCCATCATTTCTGCATAAACAGACACACAGACACACATACCCAGGTGGTGAGTCTCGACCGGTGCAGTGAGAGAACAACACAGGAAGTGGACTGTGTGGAAAGGGGCGGAGCTTTACCCTCAGCTGTGAGTTTGGGCTCATATGCTTTCCTCTTCTTCTCCTTCTCCTTCTTCCTCAGACTCCGCGCCACTGCAACACAACACCTAACGGTCAAACATGACCACACTACACACGACTCAACCGCCTACACAAACACCACCTTACACAAACAACAAACCATTAAAGGAGACATATGATCCACACAGTCACTCTGACAGACTGTAATACACTACAGGAAGCGTAGGGGGCGATATGGCTTCTACTATTTCATTTAAAAAGCCTCTATAATGTTCATTCTGACAGACTACTGTATGGCTTCTACTGAGCCAAAGAAACAGAACAGTTGATCAATTCTGAACTAATCAATTATAGAAATAAATTTCAGTTGACGACACAGTGGTACCAGTAACAACTAGTAATACAGTGATGTATGTTAGTGAATTTCAGAGATGTCCTGATGAAGCGGTCAGTGTACAGTGCTGATAAACCGATTGGCGTATTGATTGTGTCTAACCGTCACTGAGGCTGGGCGGGGGCGAGTCTTCCTCAGAGTCGTCATAGCGAGCGCCTCTCCCCCTGCGGCCTTCGTGGACTCGCCGATGGTCTCCGGAGCTCCGCCTATCTCTCTCTTCGAACTCCCACGTTCGGTCACGATCCTTCTTCTGCCGCTTACGCGTCGCTGGAACACATACACATCCCATTTACTGTCAACAGGCAGCACAGCACTGTAGAGAGCCCAAGACCCGTCACCCCAACATCCCACGTTCCCTCCATTTCTCCATCTCCATCCAGTGAAATACTCACAGTCAGCGTTCCTCAGCTCCTCGTCGTCCGAGCTCTCCTCAGCGTACCGTGGCCGCTCGTTCGCCGTGCTGCGTTTGCGTTTATTCATCTTCACTCTCTCACACAGGGGCATGGTGGACTCAATCTCAGCCAGCAGCTCAGGGGGAAGGTCCTTCAGCACAGACGGGTCCACTCCACCTGCACAACACACACAGGACCAGTACAGTTACAGC